CCATTCTGCTGGGGTTTAGAGAATGGTTGTTGGCCAACTACACTTAACTCGTAGGTATGGCATGGCCAGACACATCCTCCAAGTGCAACATCCCATCCTCACCACCGAGTTCATTCGATATGTTGTGTCGCAGCAGCCTAACCATCCAGAGGCACCCCCGCACCAATTCATCAACTCCCTTTATTTCCCTTCGTCCCTCAATTCATCTCTGTATTGTCTTGGTGGATTTCTGATTGTCCAGGTTTTCACGGGGGTTGTTATCCCCTCTGGACCTGGAGCAGCGCATTCCCGAGTCACCCACTTCGTGCGGGCAAATCCATCTCACCATGGGCAGCCCTGGTTTTCACATGCCGCAATCCTGGGCGACGGTAACGTGACTTGGTACTGCGAGATTTTGCTGCTCTTCAAAGTTACGGGCAGTGAGCAAGGCCATGCGTACGTTCAGTACTACGAAGCGGTGAACGAAGATCCTGTTACAGGTTGCATGGCATTGAGGGTGGCAAAGGCTCCTGGATCTCGGGATGATCATCGTGACGTCATTGCCATAGATTCTGTGCTACGAGCGGTGCACATTATAGAGGCTTTTGATCGGCCTGGAACTTTTCTTTTGAATGACTATCTGTTTGAGTGATGCATGCGTGATAATCATTGCTGGATCAATTGGTTTTTTTTTTTTCCATGGTAACGGAACCCTAAGAACACGCGCGGTCTGTGCATGAAGTCCCTCCAACAAGGGCAAATTGGAGGTGAACAAACTGGTGCAGAAATGATTGACATATAGGAAGCAATTTATAGTACTGATCTGGTATACGGAATAGTGTTGTTTCCCAAAAGCATACGTGATAGTAGTGGTTTAGTATGCAAATGGGAACATACAATTACCTAGTAAACGAGTCCTCCGTTTCTGGCTACTAAAAGAGGTTTCCACATTTTTGTGATGAGGCCCACGCGAGGGGCTTTTGATGATGCACTCCCGGCGCGCGACACTCGTGGAACGACTCGTGCGCGAGGCGACACTTCAGGGCCTCTGACGGAAACGGAGACGGAGTGACACGACTGGGCGACGAGGCGACACGCGACGAGGCGACATGCAACAGGGCAATGTCGCACACACGTTACTCTGATACTTTGCTCGTGACATCGCCCAAGTTGCTTGACCATGACGGGGAAGCTTCTTGGTTTCCGCGACATGTATGTCGCTTCTTTGTAGCTTTCCGAGATGTGCTCAACAACGAGGTGACATGACAGGCGACGAGGGGACAGGGCGTCGTGTGACATTAAAACAGGGCGATACGGCAGGGCACCCGCGACGCAGTGGGCTCACCCGCGATGACGACGGCGAGGCGCTTAACGTCGAGCGACGGCGAGTGGGAGAGTGACGGCATCCGAGCCATGGCTGGATGGAGCCGCGTGGAACGTGGTTTTGCAAGTCGAACTTGAGACGACCTCGAGAACCGTGAAGGGAGTGGATGGTGAATGAGTGTCTAAAGCAAGGCTGAGTCTGCGCTAGCGCATACGCTGAAGCATTTGATGCTCTTATAGGGAATGGAGGGCAAGAGGGTCGTACTGCGCCATGCGATTCTCTACTCTCGCGTTCACTGCGGCATTCGCATAACGCTGAAGCATTTGTTCAACAGGTTCAGCTGCGCTCGACTAGTTTGCTCCGTTCGCGACGGCGAAATATTTGGTTGTGCCTGCCTGCGAGCCGCATCCAAAACCTGCTGGGCACCTGGCGCCTTGATGCAGGTGCCCGTGAGTCGCGCTGTGACTGTGCGAATTCGCGTGGTGGTGGTAACCAGCGCGGCGCGGAACTGGGGAGGGGAGGTGCTTGAGGTGTATCCTCCCTATGCATAATTTTCGGAGCTACGTACAGTTTCGTCCATCCTCACCAGTTTTGGCCCTTTGTAGAATAAACAAACATTTTCAGCCAGGTAGGGAGGTCAGACTTGCTGCGAAATTATTTTGACATGTGAACTGATGCGCAATTAAATGAATTTTCTGGTTTATTATAATAAATGTTTTAATGCAAACAAGCGATCAGGCAACCTCGTATCAGATTTGTGTCGAACCACAATGAAAAGCATCCATCCGCAGTCGAACACACTGAAACGTATTTCTCATACGAGGTGTAGAAACACGCTCTAAGAACATATCCAGTAAGGTACAACACATATGATCTGATTGTATCCTACAATCCCAACTGAGGTAACACCATAGTACAATACAAGCCATGGCCTGGGTAATTACAGGTTAGCTACAGAGGCGGTGATCCCACCGCGCAGCGTCACGCCGTTCACAGTGATGGTAGAGTAAAACCCGGAGGGATTGGTGAAGAACCCCGCATCCACCAGCGCCTTGGGCCTGTTCACCGGCCTGAAGGGCACCGTGATGTTGGCTAGAGAACTGACGGGGCAAAGGTAGATGCCGAGCATAGTGGTGGGCTTGGGCACGCATGCGAACGTTGCCACGAGCTGGCCCGCGTTGGTGAGGTAGGATGAGTTGGAGAAGAATGGTGGCGGGCTGCTCGGTACGGCGGTCACTGTGAAGGTGAAGAGCGCCCTTTGCTGCGTTGACGTGCTGTAAATGGGTGAAGAGAGATGCAGGGTGGGACGGGGGGGTGATATGGAGGGGTGAGACGGAGCGGTGTGATGCAGGGGCGCGGCGGAGTGGTGAGGTGCAGAAGTGAGACAGAGCACAGGAACGGATTTGTGTGCACATGTTTGTGTAGGAGGCACATTGGAGAATCGAGTTCATGCGAGGTGAGGAATGTGTGGGAACTGGAACGATGACTTGCACTCACATGTTCACATCCACGTTGAACTTGGCGCTCATGCTGGTTTGCGAGCTCAGCACTGAGGAAGCTTGGTCTGCGGCGGGCAGACGAGGACACACACGCACAGTGCAGAAGAGGACACAGTAGAGCGATTTTTGAAGGCAGAAGGAACATTGGAAGCACACAGCGAATGGTCTGCAGTAGGATACACTAGGTGGTTGGGATTGATGCATGTGCATGTGTGTGTGGATGTGCATGTGCATGTGCATGACTCACATCTGATGGGAGCATTGAGGTCTACAGCAACGATCTTTCCGCCACCGCTGTTTGACTCTCCGGTGCTCCCAGTGCTGCTCCCACTGCTGCTGCCAGTACCGCTCCCAGAGGTGCTGTTCCCCGAGGTGCTTCCCCCAGAGGTGCTTCCCCCAGAGGTGCTGCCCCCAGAGGTGCTTCCCCCACTCCCACTGGTGCTGCCCCCACTGGTGCTGTTCACCGAGGTGCTGCCCCCCGAGGTGCTGCCCCCCGAGGTGCTGCCCCCAGAGATGCTTCCCCCCGAGGTGCTTCCCCCGAGGTGCTGCCCCCCGAGGTGCTGCCCCCAGAGATGCTTCCCCCGAGGTGCTTCCCCCCGAGGTGCTTCCCCCCGAGGTGCTTCCCCCCGAGGTGCTTCCCCCGAGGTGCTTCCCCCCGAGGTGCTTCCCCCGAGGTGCTTCCCCCCGAGGTGCTTCCCCCGAGGTGCTTCCCCCCGAGGTGCTTCCCCCTGAGGTGATTCCCCCCGCGGTGCTGCCCCCAGAGGCGCTGGTGGAGGTCGAGGTGCTCCCAGTGCTGCTGCTGGTGCCAGTGGGGACGGTGTTTACGACTCCAATAATGAGCGTCTCGTTAGGGTTCGTGCTGCCGCTGCTTGTGCTGCTGCCCGTGGTGGTACCCGTGGTGGTACCCGTGGTGGTGCTTACGTCCTTAATAACGAGAGTCTGATTAGGGTCCGTGCTGCCGCCACTCGTGCTGCCGCTGCTGCTGCCCGTGGTGGTGCTTACGTCCTTAATAACGAGAGTCTGATTAGGGTCCGTGCTGCCGCCACTCGTGCTGCCGCTGCTGCTGCCCGTGGTGGTGCTTACGTCCTTAATAACGAGAGTCTGATTAGGGTCCGTGCTGCCGCCACTCGTGCTGCCGCTGCTGCCCGTGGTGGTGCTTACGTCCTTAATAACGAGAGTCTGATTAGGGTCCGTGCTGCCGCCACTCGTGCTGCCGCTGCTGCCCGTGGTGGTGGTGACCGTTTGGGTCAGGAGGCCGTCGCTCGCATCCAGCAGCTCTCGCCGCACGGCGCCGCCCACTGCGCAGCAGAGGGAGAGCGAGAGCAGTGCTGCCAAGGGGAGGGATGTGCAGGAAACAGTGCAGCGAAGCATGGGGGAAACGGTGCAGCGAAGGGGGAAACAGTGCAGCGAAGGGGGAAACAGTGCAGCGAAGGGGGAAACAGTGCAGCGAAGGGGGAAACAGTGCAGCGAAGCACGGGGGAAACGGTGCAGCGAAGGGGGAAACAGTGCAGCGAAGGGGGAAACAGTGCAGCGAAGGGGGAAACAGTGCAGCGAAGGGGGAAACAGTGCAGCGAAGGGGGAAACAGTGTAGCGAAGGGGGAAACAGTGCAGCGAAGGGGGAAACAGTGCAGCAAAAGGGGGGAAAAGTGTAGCGAAGGGGGAAAATGTGTGTAGGGAAGGGGGAAACAAGTACCCGCGGTCAAGGAGGGCGGCTTGGAAGAGGAGAGGTTTTGCGCGGAGAGGTGGAGGCAAACGGGGGAGGGAACTTGAAGTGCGGAGGAAATGTGGGCAGGACGTGTGGGGCTATCGATGATGCACTCGCGCCGGCGCGCGATACCTCGTCCGCGGAACGACTCGTGGGCGAACGACATGAGAGGGCGACAGAGCGACACGACAGGGCGACGGAGCGACACGACAGGCGACGGAGCGACACGACAGGCGACGAAGCGACACGGAGCGACACGACAGGCGACAAAGCAACTCGACAGGGCGACGGAGCGACACGGAGCGACACGACAGGCCGCGACAAAGCGACTCGACAGGGCGACGGAGCTACGCGCGACAAGTGCGACATCGCAAACGACGAGATGACATCGCAGGGCGATGAGCGACACGACCGGGCGACGAGGCGACATGGCGGGGGCGTCGTGTGACATGTCAGGGCGAAACGAGGGGACGAGGCGACGCGGTGGGCTCACCAGCGATGACGACGGCGAGGCGCTTAACCTCGAGCGACGGCGAGCGAAAGAGTGACGTCATCCGGGCCATGGCTGGATGGAACCGCGTCTTGATAACTCGGGGTTGCTAGTCGAACTTGAGGCACTCCAAGAATCGTGAGAGTGGATGATAATCAGTGTCTATAGCAAAGGCTAAGTCTGGCTGCGAATGGAATGAAGACAATAGACGCGTTTGATGCTCAGTATAGGAATGGAGGGCGCAGGTGCATCGTGCTACGCCATTCGAGTTCCTCCCCTCGCTTTCGCTGCGGCAATCGCGATTTCAGAAGCTCCTGGCGGAATGCGCTGCATTTTCCGCTGGAAGATACAGAAATCTCATTGGACAACTTCATCCAGCGCAGCTGGTACACAGTGACCCTGTGGAAGCCACACGACGAACAGATTCAGCTGCGCTCGACCCATGTGCTCCGTTAGCGGAGGCGATATGTTTGGCTGTGAAAGCCGCGAGCCGCATCCGAAACCTGCAACTGTTGCACCTGCCGCCTTGATGCAGATGCCCGTGAGTCGCGCTGTGACTCAGCGAAGTGCTCTCGCCTGGTGACATGGTGGTAACCTGTGCGACGCAAAACCAGGGGGGCGATGAAGGTGTGGTATACCCCCTTTAGCATCATTCTACAACCACGTACAGTTTCGCTCATCAGAAGCCAATTTTTGGACCGTTGTAAGAAAACCAACAATTTCATGAAGCCAATTTTGCCCCACTGTAGCTTGCTGCAAGTTTCACATCATCCATCTCTCTGCACCCTCTCAGCACAACCAACCGTCACCATCCACATAAAGCTCCATGCGCTCATCACGTCCGCTGCAATGCGCTCATCGCGCCCACTGCTCTGTGCGCAACCATCTGTGAGCCCAGTGCCATCAATCTGTGACTCTGAGCCCACTATGGAAGCCATTGGCTCTTTGTGCAACGCTGCCTCCATCAGCCGGGGTAAAAATCTAGCAACCTTTCACCCGAATCTCGAAATCATGTACAAGGCTTCGTTTGTAGAAAGTGTTCTTATCCTGAGGTGAATTCTTGTTTGTGTTAAACTGTATTATGTTGGTAGGCTGTAGTGGGGTAGCCAATATGGGGTACAACCCCAACTAGGGTTTGCTACTTGTACCCAATTCTTCCATTCAATGCACCATTCTTGCCTAGTTCTTTTGACATGGTATTCAGAGCAGGAGGTCCCTAGGACCTACCGACCGTTTTTTTTTTTAAGGGCCCACCACCGCTCGCATGCGGTTACCACGCTACCCCGTGCCCTAGCCTCGTAGCGCCCTCGTGCGCCCTCGTTAGCGCCCTCGTGCGCCCTCGTTAGTGCCCTCGTGCGCCCTCGTTAGTGCCCTCGCGCGCCCTCGTTAGCGCCCTCGTGCGCCTCTCGTTAGCGCCCTCGCGCGCCCTCACTAGCGCCCTCGCGCGCCCTTGTTAGCGCCCTCGTGCGCCTCTCGTTAGCGCCCTCGCGCGCCCCTCGCAGCGTCGCCCGCCCGCCGAGCCGCCCGCTCGCAGCGTCGCCCGCCCGCCGCGCTGCCCGCTCGCAGCGTCGCCCGCCCGCCCGCTGCCCGCTTGCAGCGTCGCCCGCCCGCCCGCTGCCCGCTTCGCAGCCCGCCCGCCGCGCTGCCCGCTCGCCGCGTCGCCCGCCCGCCTCGCTGCCCGCTTGCAGCGTCGCCCGCCCGCCCGCTGCCCGCTTCGCAGCCCGCCCGCCGCGCTGCCCGCTCGCAGCGTCGCCCGCCCGCCCGCTGCCCGCTTGCAGCGTCGCCCGCCCGCCCGCTGCCCGCTTCGCAGCCCGCCCGCCGCGCTGCCCGCTCGCCGCGTCGCCCGCCCGCCCCGCTGCCCGCTTCGCAGCCCGCCCGCCGCACTTCCCGCCTGCAGCGCCGCCTGCCCACCGCGCTGCCCGCTTCGTAGCCCGCCCCCCGCACTGCCCGCTCGCCGAGTCGCCCGCCCGCCGCGCTTCCCGCCGAGCTACCTACCTGCAGCGCTGCGGCAGCTTCCTTTGCTCAGTCGCACTGTCACTATGGCTTCCATCCGCGTGCTGTCGTTCGATGCTGAGGGCCGCCCTGTGAAGTTCGCCACTTGGCTGGATGACCTGCAGCTGTTCCTTCTGAGCGATAGCAAGGAGCATGTGTCGCTCTATGATTACGCGTCTGGTGCTGCACCTGCCCCTCCTGCCACAGCTGAGCTTAGTGTTCGTTCCCACTGGCAGACTCGTGACGCAGCTGCTCGCCTAGCCATTCGCAGTCACCTCCCGCTAGCTGAGCTCGAGCATTTTGGCGACTGCAAATCCGCTAAGGCCCTGTACGATGCTGTCGTTGCTCGCTACTCCTCGCCTGCCACAGCCGAGCTTAGCCGCCTCATGCTGCCGTACCTGTTCCCTGAGCTGTCCACCTTTGCTACAGTCGCCGATCTTATCACCCACCTTCGCACTAGTGATGCTCGCCTGCGTGCTGCCCTTCCCACCGAGTTCTGCGCTAAGAACCCCCCTCCACTGTACTGGACACTCCACTTCATAGTCACCCGACTCCCTGACACCCTCAGCTCAGTTCGAGACCACTTCCTTGCTCGCTGTCCCACTGAGCTCACAGTCGCCCTCCTAGAGGAGCAGCTGCTAGCGGCCGAAAAGAGCATTGTAGCTGTCGGTGCTGCTCGTGGCGCTCCTCGCACCCCCATCTTTGAGGGGTGTTCTCCCTCTCCCCTCGCTCCCTCCTACGCTACTGCTGCTGCTGTTGACTTCCTTGGTGCTGAGTCTGCTGGCGCTGCTTCTGCTCCTGGTGGGAGGCGCCGCACCGGCAAGGGCAAGGGGGGCAAGGGTGGCGGGGGTGGCGCTGGGGGGGGAGGAGGTGGGGGAGGTGGGGGGGGAGGCGGTGCTGGAGGGAGCGGTGGCGGGAGTGCTGGTGGGAGTGGGGTCGGCAGCGGAGGCGGGGGCGGCGGAGGGAGCGGTGGCGGTGGTGGCGGCGGCGGCGGTGGTGGCGGCGGCGGCGGTGGCGGCGGCGGCGGTGGTGGCGGTCGGAGCGGAGGTAGTGGTGGTGGCGGAGGTCGGAGTGGAGGCACTGGCTCGGGCCAGAGCTTGTCAGAATGTTATTATTGTCTAGCCTGTAGTGGGGTGCTCTATAGCGAGTACAACCCAGTTAGGGTTTGCTATATGTACCCCAACTGCTGCTAGTGAAACCTCTCTCCTTTCAATCATTCTTGCCTAGCTGTTCTGTCAACAGAGCTCCCCGCAGCAGCAGCGTCTCCAGACGACCCAGCAGGTTCGTGAGTGGCTTGCTCAGCGTGGGACGTCGGGGGGCAATGGCCGCTGTTCCTATGTCATTCGCACAGGTGACCGCAAGGGACAGACGTGTGGGAGGTTCCACACCCCGTACCGCTGCTTCTCCCGCCTTGACGACGCTTGGCGTGAGGAGATGGGCGAGGATGTTGAGCGCCCTCGCTGGGCTGAGCTGATGAGGGCTGGGGTTGATATCTTTGCTCTTGACTATGATGCTATTATTGCTGCCATGTATGCATTGACTGTTAGTGCCGAGGGAGACTGTTACTTGTGTGTGCCGCCTGACCCAGGTATAGGGCCCGCTGCCCTAGGTACTAGTGAGTCTGCTCTCTCTGGTATGGTGCCCCCTGTACCTGCTCCCTCCAGCACTGTCCCTGCTGCTTGCGAGTCTGCTCTCTCAGGTACAGCACCCACAGAGACTGCTCTCTCAGGTACTGCACCGGCTGAGGCCTGTCACACCTTCACCCTTGACTCAGGTGCTTCCCGCTGTTTCTTTCGTGACAGTACTGAGCTCACACCGCTTCCTGCACCGGTCCCAGTCTCCTTGGCTGACCCCTCTGGGGGCCCAGTCCTTGCCCAGTCCACCACTGTGCTCCCTTGTCCGGCGGTTCCGTCTGGCTCGTTGTCGGGTTTCCACCTCCCCTCGTTCTCGACGAACCTGGTGAGCAACGCTGTCATCCAGGATCAGTGGGTTGACACCTTTACCCCTGGAGGACAGCGTGTGGCGATCTGCACGTGCTCCAGGACCGGCCGTCACCTGGCTACGTTTACCCGTCGGCCGGGGTCGAGTCTCTACACACTGACCACTGCGTCTCCTCAGGTCGCTGCTGTCGGTCAGGTGTCCGCGTCAGGTCTGGTGGCCCACGCCTGTGAGTGTCGTTCCCTGTCGCACCAGACTCTTCTCTGGCACCACCGCCTGGGTCACCCCTCCTTGCCACGCCTCCGTGGCATGCACCGTCGCCGCCTTGTGTCTGGTCTTCCCAGGTCTCTCCCTCCCCTCCCTGCCTCGCCTGCGCCGCCTTGCCTTCCTTGCGTCGAGGGGCGGCAGCGCGCCGCTCCTCACTCCTCCTCGTTTCCCCCGACAGAGGCTCCTCTGCAGACCCTCCACCTGGACGTGTGGGGCCCAGCCCGCGTTCGTGGCCAGGGCGGTGAGCGGTACTTTTTGCTGGTTGTCGACGACTACTCGCGTTACACCACGGTCTTCCCCTTGCGCACCAAGGGTGAGGTCCCTGCTGTTCTGATCCCTTGGATCCGCACAGTTCGTCTCCAGCTCCGCCGCCGTTTCCGGACGGATCTTCCTGTCCTGCGTCTGCACTCTGACAGAGGTGGTGAGTTTTCCTCCGATCTCTTGAGGACCTTCTGTCAGGCGGAGGGCATCGAGCAGACCTTCACGCTTCCGGACTCCCCACAGCAGAATGGGGTTGCTGAGCGCCGCATTGGCCTGGTCATGGAGGTCGCTCGTACCTCCTTGGTCCACGCGGCGGCTCCCCATTTTCTGTGGCCGTTTGCTGTCCGGTACGCCGCGCATCAGCTCAACCTCTGGCCCCGTGTCTCCTTGCCGGAGACCTCTCCCACACTGCGTTGGACGGGGGAGGTTGGCGATGCGTCGCGCTTCCGGGTGTGGGGTGCTCGTGCCCTTGTCCGCGATACGTCCGCGGACAAGCTCTCCTCCCGCACACTTCCCTGTGTCTTCCTTGGCTTTGTCCCTGACGCGCCGGGCTGGCAGTTTTACCACCCCACCTCGCGCCGGGTCTTCGCCTCTCAGGACGTCACCTTTGACGAG